TCGTACTGGATCTTCCCGTGGTCAACAGGCTCCAGGACTTTCCTTTGTTTGGTCTGGAACCCTGTCAGAGCTGTTTGCAGATCCACCTCCTCTTCCTCTGATGAGTACTGTCAAACACAATTGCAGAAAAATTCATTCTCACAACAGAAAAGCAGGTTTAATTACTGTTCATGTGACATCCTAACAAATGAAAATCATTAACTGGGGAAAAAACTAACCTCCATGGCATCCTGGTCATTCTCCATCAGCTCACCCTTCTTCTTGTGAGTGTGAGGTCCTTTCTTGGTTTTCACAACAGTCACCACTTTAGTTACTGTCATTGCTCCTTTCTGTTGGGGATGAAAAAACACAAACATCATTATCTGACAAAACAGCAAAGGAAAACACCCATGAAGAAAACCTCTGAATGCTGCGAGACAAACTGATGTTGACATACAACACTGGACAACAAAGATGACACCTCAGGAAAAATCCCTCTCACACTCACCTGATCATTTCCCTTCATTCCTCCCATGTTGAATTTCTTGACCTCCTGTTTCACTTCCTCCATGTAGGCGTCCAGAGGATCAACGTCATCCTCCTCAGCCTGCAGCTCCATGGGAGTCTCCTTTTCCTCCTCCTCCTCCTCCTCCTCCTCTTTCTTCTCCTCCTTTATCTCCTCTTTCATCTCCCCTTTCCCTTCTCCATCTTCATCATCGTCTCCCTCCATAGGCGCTGAACCCTCCTCGTCATCGTCTGAAAGGAAGAGTCAATCATTAGGCTCTGCAGCACCAAAGCTAAGGTCTGTATTGATCAAGTGATCAGTTAAATGATAAAAGTAGATTAATACATTATTACCTATTTTATTTAACTTCTTATCAAGCACAATTACCAATGTGACTGGATACATGATGCTTTTATAATTTAAAATAACAGGTTGCATATTGTTGTTGATAATAACTAGCATATGATTATTAATTATAAATATTGCAGGTTACTTTAAACTGTGCTTCCTCACCATCATCATCCTCGAGGCTCCACTTCTTTCCCTGCTTCATCTCCTCCAGTTCTTTCTTGATCTCTCCGATGCTTTCGATTGCCTTCTGCCTCTGCTCTATTCTCCACTTCTCTACCCGCTCCTTCCTCTTCCTCATCTCCTCCTCCAGCTTGTTCTGGTCAAAGTCTTGCTGCACAGTCACAAAAGAAATATCTGTAACATTTTCCTTCTACTATGTGGTGATATTTTACTGACTGGCAAGAACTGAAGCTACAGAACTTACGTCCTCAACCTTTTCATCCTCTTTTTCCTCTTTAACCTTTTTCTTTTCAGATAAAGGGTCAACGTTGTCCTCCTCCTTGCCCCTTGATCTGCATGGAAGATAACAACAAAAGAGAGTAATAGAAAGTGTAGTGAATGTGACCCTCACGCCCAGACATTAACGATTTAGATTAATTTAGGATTATTGTTTGGATTCATTTTGAGAAAATCTGCACGCCACAGAAATCCTACCCCTAACCCCCATAATGATATGCCATCAAAATGACTGGACAAGTCATCCACATGTTCTGGTGACATTAACTAAACAAGGTTTATCTGATAAAAACATGTTTTATTTTTGACCCTGTGTGACAGTGTGTACTGCTGGATTGTGCATGCTGCAGAAATGTATCCTGAAAATTCTCTGGGCTTTTGTTTAGTTGATGTCATGTCTCACTTTTCATCTGTTCTTCTGCTCTTGTTGGGGCTGACAGATCTGGACCTCCGGGCTCTGCTCCTGCTGCCTGACCTCCTTCTTTCTCTGCTTCTGGACCTCCTCCTGTCTCTGCTCCTGGATCGCCTGAACAACAAACACAATCATATGACATAAAAACAGAAATGACCAGAGGGGAAAAGGTCTCTCTTTCAAGAATAACTGATATGTCATTATCTAAAGGGAATTCAAACAAGTGCATGCAAAGAAATCCAAACCCTCCTAAAATAAACTACAGTTATTTTAATGCCATATGTTTTGTGGTAACAAATTCAGCCATTGAAAACCCAATAAAGGTTGAATCCACTTTAGATTTAGCTTTTAGTTTTCCCACATTAAATCAAACCATCTTCAAACATAAACATTCATAAAGGTAGTGAGGGGGTGAATATAGTTTTGTTATGTAGAAATAATGAAGTTTTAATGGCGCTAGGCAACAATGATTCTCATCAGAGTCTCCTCTTCAGTCTCATCTGGATTTTGTGGGAGTGCACAGCTCTGAAAAACATTTATGATGCTAGTATCGTACAAACTGTGATCAAAGATCTCATCACAAATAAAATGGACAGAATAAAATAAAACAGAGACCTGACTTTTAAATTGTAAATTCAACTATGAACAACTGTAGTCTTCAACACTTAGGTATGGTAGACTACATAAGAACACCCACCTAGCTCGCTTTCTGTCTCTGGACCGGGTCCTGCGGCGGTCCTTGCTCCGGGACCTCTCCCTCCTGCTCCGGTCTCGGTCCCGGTCGTCTTTCTTGGAGCGCTTGTCCGGAGAGCGGCTCTTCGATCGGCTGCCTGAGCGTCCGCGGGACGCTGAGCGCTTCCTGTAGTGTCTGCGGAGCAAACAGCAGAAAAGTCACGTTAGCTGCAGAGTGTTGATAAAACTCTACACGTTAGAAAACTTCTTTAATTCATATTCCACAGCTGCGGGAGACTGAACGATAACCAACACACGGGCGCCTCGGCTAGCATGCTAATGTTAGCCACGGGAATGAAAGCAGCTGAAGCAGCGACAGACGGAAACGCAGAATGAAACGGATCCTTGTAACTTACCTCGACTCACGTCCCATCGCTGTTCCACCGAGCTGAGTCTGATTAAAAAGGGAAATCAGGTCATGGATTGTGACGATCGATGAACGCTGGATGCTTGTTGGTGTCTTTGAACCTGCGCGTAAGAAAACTGCGACAGATAAGTGCGACAGTTCAATTCACAAACTTAACAACGGAGGGCGCCCCCCTCTGGTGGGAGGTCAGAGGAATAACACAGTTGAAGCCAAAATGAATCAATTATGAAATCTGTCAATCATCAAGTGTAAACTCATGCGTGTGACCATCAACAGTCTGATGATTCATGTTCTTTGTAAGAAAAAATAGTTTGACAGGCTCTGAATTTTTTTGGGATAAAATAAACATTTCCACAAACTATTCATTTAGACACTTGTTTGATGACAAGATAAGATAATCCTTTATTAGTTTGCAATATTAGAGTCAAAATAGGCGTCAGTAAGTAATAATAAGTAACATGCGATACCGAAGTGTAGGAATAATAATACTTAAGTGTAACAAAATGTTAAAAAATATATAGAAAACTTTGTATGGAATAAAAACCAACACATTCAGTGTAAAACCAAGAACAAATATTTACAGTGTGAGAATGTTTACACTGAATAATTGAAATAGTCTTACATCAATATACTTAGCTCTATTATTCCCCTCCCCCCTGTGCCTCTGGGTAGAGGAAGACAAATAAAAACCTCGTCCAAGATCTCTTCTAATAGGATCTTGAAGAGGTGTTATGTAATTTATCTCTAATACTTAAGTCTTGTATCTACAGGATATTGTGATATAATTCATTATCCTCTATCATATATCAGAGGGGAATAGTTTACTTTTTACTCTGCTGTATGTGCAGAGAAAATTATATATATACAGTATATAATTAGAGACAACTTGCTGTAATACTCATATCATGTACTGGTTAATGCATTGTCCATGTAATAAAATAATCTATACTTACCACTTAAAAATGGTGATTACAGTGATATGTAGCCCTTCAGCCTTCCTCTAAATATGGCTGAGAAATAATTTCTCAAGACAAAATCAATAGCATGATGGTAAAGTAGCAGTGTGTGGGATTAAATGGTATCTAGTGGTGAGGGTGCAGATTGCAACCAACAAAATATTCTATTGTATTTTGATACATGTGGCTGTCGCTGTGACAGTTTCATTTCCCTCTGGAGCTCAATAAAGTTATTTATCTAAATACCCTCATCTCATCATGTTTATTAACATGCACATCCCTGCTACATAAAACAGTTTAATACATATCGAGAAGTGAGAGACTTAAGTTTGTCCCACAAGTTGTATTTATTTGTTAAGAACGGTCCAGTTTTTCATCCTATGTATTTTATTGAAGCAGAAACTGTTGAAATCATGTCAACACTGAATTTGTTACGTTCAAATATGTAAAAGCCATTTTAACAGTTGTTCTGTAAACATTATCAAAATCAGTCAAGTAGCTTAGACAAGTAGTAAGATACGGTAAATCACATCAATTAATTTACATGAAAAACAAATATTCACATTAATAAATCAATTAGGATGAAATGAAAAGTATTCAGAAAGAACATCAACATCACAAACACAGAGAGTACACTGTATATAAAGTATGTACCATATATGAATGAGGCCTGAAGGAAGCGAAGCACGACACGTCACCAATGAATTAATTGATACATATAAGCGCACAAACTCCCACTGAAGCTGCACTGACAGAGGTTCCCAGTAAACCCCCACACATTCCCATCAATCCTACATTTCATTACCAACAGTTCACTTTATGCTGTTTACTGCCTTTTAAAGCCGTGCAAAAATAACAAGGGTGAAATGCTTCTTCTGACTTTAAACAAAATAAAATACTTATTGTAGTTGGACCCCTTTAAACAAAAGGTGAGATCGCAACAGAAGGCCTAAACCAAAGTCATGAGGAAGTCCATCACAACACCAATATGAAGGATTCATATCCATCAGTTCAATTCTTCATGGATGGATGATTTGAAGAGTTCAGCATCTCCTGAACGTGAACGATGACAACGCTACAAACATGTTCTTTTTAATCTTTCTCCTCCTCATTCTGTGACCTCAGAATAACAATTGAGAAAATTAAATGTTCTAGATCCATTCATACTAAATTAATTTGTTTAATTTGTCCCCTCCAGCCTTTTGTTCTTAGATACTCAGATCCATTAAGATGTTTCAGGGGTGTTTTTACTTCCTCAACCTTTTATTTTCTCAACAGAAAAATCATGCAGCTGTTAGTCTGAACCTCTGCGTTTCCTGCTAGTTGCATGTTCAGCAGGAAAGAGGAAATTCAAAATATGACAGAACCTCAGATTAATCACAGAAGAAAATTACAAAAATTACAAAATAATCCAAAGATTTGATCAGAATCCTGAGAACAAAGTCAGAAATCAGTTGTTCTGAGTATTGAAACTAATCTCATAGCACGTTTTTTTAACTGTTCCTAAACTTCCATGTAATTATAAAGTTAACAGTAAACCACCTGTATTAAGCCCACTACTGTATTCAGCCTGTCACAACAGGTCAAGATCCTCAGTAACCCTCTCATCTCCAGGGTTGCGGTCAATTCATTTGTGTTTCAGTTGGTTCAGGAACTAGACTGAATCAAAATATAAATAAAACAAATACATAAACATTTGTAACAGTTTAGATTTAGGTTTTAAATGAACTGAAAACGCACTGAACCCAACCTTTCTAACCCTCTGCACAGCTAAGAGTAAAAAAGGCATCCATAGTGTTGTTAGAGATTTGGTTTTAAGGTCAGGCACCAGTATTAGGTTTCTATCAGCTGAGAATATGACACCTTGTCCAGCTTATGCAACACATTTAGATTTATTAGGTTATAGAAGGACTCAGGCATAATTCAGTTTCTCTTATTACTCTCTCTTTGCATTCAGTGGAATTGCACTGTGAACCTCTTTTTACACAATTCTGACAAATCCTGCCAGAGAGAGCAGCAACACAACACATAACCTGTGAGCGTGGGGTTCAGTATATTGAAAGATTTTGTTTTCCACACATGTAGAATATGTTTGATGTATTTTTATCGAGATGATGAATCAAGATCAGAAATGTCAGAGTCATGTGAGGTGAACAAAAGTTAGATGGAATCTATGAACCCTTTGCAAGACCAATTATCTTCCACTTTTCAGTGCGACATTTACCATTTCCTGAAAATAAATAATACTGGTCATTATAAACACAAAATGTTGTTAAGTTTCCAGCGTCTGTGGCGAGCAGAAATAACATGGAGCTCTGTAACAAACGCTGGCCTCTCTGGTAACATGTAGCTGAGCCTTGGTGAAAGTCTGAAGTGCTGTCGAGATGAGCTCTCATGCAGCTGATGGGCGACCCCGGTCAAAAGAAGGCAGGGATTCATTTTCAGACTGTCGACAGCAAACCCACACCAGAGGACGTAAATAAGCATGCCTTGTTGCTATGGGGAACGGAAGGAGGGGTCAACAAGAAGGAGGGTTGGGTTACTGAGGTCCTGCCCCTCCATCAGGGAGTCTCTGAGCCAATGAGGAGCAGGATCTCGTTGGAGAGGATGAAGGTGAAGAAGTAGACGCATAGGTCAGCAAAGACATCGCCCATCCTCCTGTAGGTATCCATGGAGCGGTTGATGACCTCAGCGGGGATGCCGGACAGCAGCAGGGCAGCGGTTAGCACAGTGGTCTGGGTCTTCTTCTCTACCTGGAGAAACAGGAGTGTAATGCAAAGACACTATGAAACACGTGGCAGCACTAAATGATAATTCCCTTAGTTTTAGACCCTGTTTGATTTTGATTATGGATTATTTATAATTAATTTTATGGTTTAACTAAACATCTTATATCTTTAAAAAAATGTACTCCCTTATATCAGCATCAGCATTGGACCAATCATTTTTCATTGACAATATGGAAAACAGACAAAGCAACAAACCCATGTGTTGGAAAAGCTAAAGACAGAAAATGACACACATTCCTGCTTGATTAACAACTTTATGTCACGACATCGATGTTTGATGTGATGACATGTTCACCATAAGGACTGGGAGCACGGGGAAACAGTCCAAAGTTCAGAAATAAACCTTCCAGTGCCTCTACAGCTCTACAGCCATCATTACTTCTTTGACATCATCACTAATACCAAAGAATCTGCATCTCAATAACACTGTTTGATACCATATTAAATAACACAAAAGGCATCAAAAGCAAACTCACCTTTGGAAAGTACTTAGACAACCCCATGTAGGCCAGTTCAAGGGTCAGAAATGGAGCAAAGATAGACTAGAATGAAATAAAATATGAGTCACATCACTGCAGCAACAAAACTTCTGTTAGTCAGATTCATCATTATTGAAACATCAACAACACATTGAATGCAACATGAATTTGTCTCTGCACATCTGATTCTGATGATAAAACATCTGCATCTGCTGTAAGTGTGGCCTGGTGGTAGCTAACAATTAATACAAATATTAAATGTCACCTGTGGATGATACTAGTTAGCTGTTGTAACTTGTGACGGATCTATCAATGCACATAAATTCCTTTAGCGTCTGTGTTGTCATTTGCTATCATGTAAAATTACCATTGTCACAGTCGACATAGTCGTCACAGCAACAAGGTGTCGACAGCAGCAGACTCACCAGATACTTGCAGACGAACACTCTGACAAAGATGGCGAGGAGGACGCTGCCGATGAGCCTGAAGACTCTGAAGGGATCAAACTCCTCTGTCTCCGACTCTCCGTCCTGGGCCGGCTTCTCGTTGGCCAGCTGACCTCGCAGTTTCATGGCATCATCGAAACGAGACAGGTACTTCTGGAGGCCCCTGCGTGGGGACCCACTGATGTCGTCCGATGCCCGCTCCCCCCTGGGTCTCTGCCGGACCCCCATGATGTCATCTTCTATGGAGCCTCCGTGTGGCTCACTGCAGTCTGGCAGGGGCGAGCCCCTCCTCTCTGGGGTGGCGCTGTGGGAGCGGCTGCCGAACCCAGAAGCCTCCGGCAGGAAAGGGGACGGCCTCTGCGAAGATGCGGAAGAGGACCACTGCTCTGTTCTGTCAAGATCGAGGTGGAACCGAGGTTCTGTCGGACGCCGAGAGGCTCCTGCTGAGGAAGTTAGAAACATCAGTGATGTCATACTTAATTGTTGAAGTTACTTATCAGGGAAACTTACATTCCAATTTTAAATGTGACACTTCTCGGCTTTTCTTGGTTTCAAATCAATGTAAATTAAAAACATGTATTTTAATGAGGACATTTTAAATCTTAAATCCAATTTGTGTTATTTCTATGTAAAAAAAAACTCTGACAAACTTGTTTTTATCTGATCCCAGATCAACTAGTATATAAACTGGTCAAGCAGAAAAACGAAAGTAATGTGATATTTATTGTGATGATTATCAATGTTGACTGATATCTTGATTAAAGAAAAATAGAAGCCAGACATCTGTGAACATTTGCTTTAATGATCTATTGATTCTTTTAATTGATATAATTTCTGTTTGACTGGAAATCAAACAGGTCTGTGAGGAAGCACTGGAATCAGAGAGCTGCTGGTTTGAATCCCAGGCTGGAACCTATGTGCTACACACCAACACGGTTAAAGACATTCAAAACAAACACGGACATGACGTGACAGTTCTCTGCTCGTGGACTGACGTGATGCTCCGACAGCAGGTGACGCAGGTTGCAACAACCGGTGGAGGCAGAACAGACGTTAATGTTAATATTGTTTCATACCGTTGATCTCAGACTCGTTCTTGGTGAAGCCCACGATCCTGTTCATCCTGTCCTCTGAGTTCATGAGCAGCTTCCTCCTGCGGATCTCTGCTCTCCTCTGAGCCGCGGACACCGGACCAGTCTTCTCCTCCGCGGACTCTCCGGACTCCATGTTGAAGTAGACCAGCGACGAACGACCAGTTTATTGTCAGTGGAGCCAAAGGAACGACCCAGCAGTCCGCCGCGGTCAACACAAAGGCCGCAGGTCTCTGAATGAGACGGTAAACACCGCGGGATGGACAAGAGGGGGTCTGCAGCCACAGAGGACGCACGGTGATGACGTCAGGTTGAGCATGACGAGGTGGTTCCTGCGGGTAATCGTCCCTCGGTGTTGACTCACAGGAAACACAGGCCTGACAGATCTGTGCAGGCTAAATCGACGTTTGTTCCCTTCGATGAGAAACATTATTTAACCCTGCAGTTTGATTATAGAGGCATGTTCACAGCATTACATTTATTTATCATCAGTTTTCCCCCCACTTGTTTGTATATATATGTTTTTTAATCTACATGTTCCAAATAAATAAAAAAATGAAATGAAGTAGTAACAACAAACATATTGATAATGGCTGATCAGCTTTAAAAAGTAAGCTACCGAGTTTGAAACTTGTGCTGTTCAATCAATTCAGGGCCATTTTTGTATTTAAATGTTTTGCATTCTATGATGATTCTGAGGGATTTTGACAAATTAAATTAAAATCAAATTGCTGTTTTCTGTGAAATTGTGCAGAAAACTGTAAATCAAGACCTGCACTGCAAACTTGACTCAGTTCATCACATTTTGACACGGGGCATTTTTCTTTTCAAGATTGAAATATCTGACACTTCTCAAGTCAGCATGTGTTGGTTTTATGAAAAGTCTTGTTGAGCTCCTTTAAGACGTTTACACAAGAAGTTAGTTTCCTGAAGTGTTTTAGAAAACCCTGTTATCTGAGGTTTACAATAAGTTGGTAGGTCTGCACTGTCAACTGCCCCTCGACATCCTGCTCTTACAAATTGTTGAGCTGCCAACAAACTGATTCTATCCGTCATCAGTAAAATGAGAATCTGTTGAACTGCTGAATGTTTTTTAATGAGTCATTGTTTGGTTTTGAGTCATTCCAAGACAAAAAAAATATTTTTCTGCCCATTTTGCTCGTTGTGAACACATGAAGTCATACGTTATCGGTGTATAAATCCAGGTCAAGTTAAAACTTTATCATTGTTGTCTATTTTGTCCAATATTAAGTCCTGTCCAGACAAACTCATGTGACTCAAGACCACAGGTCTGTGATTTACTCTGTACAAACACAGGCTATAGTTTTATTTTGATCAGTTTTTTATGAAAGACAATTTTGTGCATGAAGACCAAAACATATGTTTGCTCCTAAATACATTTCTGCTTATATAATACATAGATTACAAACCGTGTATGAAATCAGACCAAATCAAAAACCTTCTGTTCAACCCCAGTCTAGAGAAATATTGACAATATTGGTCCATATTGTGGTTTTTCGTCTTCATTTCCACTGAATAAACACTGTTAAGCCACCAACACACAAACTACATTTAAAAAGTGCCAAACATTTTATTTTCTTAGCGTCATGTCACCTTGATATTTATCTAAAATCATCCGCATTTTGTCACTTTCATATAATGCAGTCTCTTCATATACAAGTATCAATAAGCATGGTTAAAACAATGGCTTTGTTATGTCTGTGTTAAAGAATTTCCCATATCCTATTATATTAAAATATTTTATATGTAGAGTCTGTATTTAAACAGAGGTTCTATAATAAAAGTGAGTTCCCATACAAGGCAATTATAGAATTTAATCAGATTGGGAGTCTCATAAATTAAACAATCGGAAAAAAAGAAATAAACAAATAGAACAACGATGTCATCAGAGGTGTTCTGCCTGTCCAGAGAGGGAGAAGATGTCAGATCAGACCAATGAAATTACTTTTCACTGCTGAGTCCACACATTCAAGGCAGCGGTGACAGAGAGCTCCATCCGCCTCCACACACTTCAGCCTGTTACCGACAGTGTCTATGGGTTTGTTCGACACACACACTTAAAATGACTGAGAAATAAAAAAGCACACCTTCTGTCTTTTAGGTATGATATCAGAGTGTTGTTAGAGCTCAGGTGTTCTGTATGCAAATACTCCAGGTGACACCCAATAACAGTCTTCAAGCGCAGACACACAAACCCTCCTTAGAAACCTGAAGCAGACACGCATACGAACATACATACGTTTGATTTGATTTGGTAAAGACGAGTGTGCTCTTGGAACAAAAACACATGACACCCTCGCTTTCCTGCAACTATCCAAGCACTACCTTAGTCAGACAGCAATGTTCTATGAGAATAAACACTGAACCTTTCGATCACTGACAAACAAACTTATTATCGTCGGTGTGGATTTCTTGCTGATTTTTCTTCCGATGCATCGCTTCAGCTGGGTAAAAAGTTCCAAAAAAGCATCAAACATGATTCCTTGTCAGACTGTCTTTGCATTGTCTGCCACATTGTTTGATTTGAGTGACACTTCACATCAGTTCAGCGCAGGTTTTTCCTCGGAGATGGTGGATCACAGCTGGAAATGGAGCAAGAGGCATCCTTGAGTCAGCCACACACACACACACACACACACACACATCATATACATATATACGCACACACATACACTGATGGGCATCCTTGCTTCAGCGTTCCTTCATTTCCACAGTCCCACTGAAGATTATTTGGAGATTTGCTGTTGGAGGTGGAGCAGGAACTCGTAGTACGACAGGGCGGACTCTGTTCGGTCCTCGATCATGTTCTGCATAAAGCTGGCTTTCAGCTGGCTCTCGTCCCTGAGGACACAGAATAAAAGAGGGGGGGACAATTAGAGAGACACTGATTGATTCATTTCAAAATGATAATAAAGGAAATTCAAATCTTGACATTCAATGAAACCGCAGAGGCTCTTTGGATTTAACACCTTTGATTGACACATTAGATCTTGTATGTTTAAATCTGCTGGACTTCAGCCTTTAGTAGTTTTTTGATGTCATGTCTTCATTGCTGTCTGTCTTTCAGCAGGATTACAGAAAAACTACACAACCCATTTCCATGAAGTTATATAAAGGGTTGGGGCAGGGGCCAAGGAGGAACCCATTAAATTCAGCAGCAGATCCTCTCGAACAAGTGGATACGGGTTTTTCTCTTTCTCCCTGAGCAGCCTTTGATTTATTTTCTTTTAAATTGACTTCAAATTCTGTCGCATGAAACCTCATCTATAACCTCTGTGCTGCTTAGTTTTCGGATTTCCTTTCTGATATTAAATCAGCTGTTTCAGAAGTACCCATACTACTGTTTCTAATACACGTTCTTTTTTGTTACCAACCTGATGACATGCAAAGAGGGGAAGAACGGCCTCTGATCCCTCAGCCAGCCAACGAAAGCCCTGGTTCTCTGCGACTCGGCAGTGTCCAGCTCTGGGAGCATATACTACGAGAGAAGAGCAAGGGTCAACTTTTCATCATCGAGGAGTGCATGAAATGAAAAACACTGTAACTGTGCTGTACTATACACTATACACACAAGGAAATGTTAAAGTTACACTCAAAGTGTATGAAGGAGCAAAGACCACAGCAGGAGGAAACTGCATGTGGCTGCTTTAACATGAGATTTCCTACCAAGTTTTCAGGCACGGCAGCATAGCTGGGAACTCCCAGGACTTGTGAGAGGAAGTTGGGATGGCAGTTTCGTCCGATCCACAGATAAATGACCTTCAGGAGCAGAATATGGAATATATCATACATGCTCATATATAAATCTTGAGTATTGTAGAACGACTACTAGACTACAAGAGAGTGCTATGACTCTGAACACTTTCCCACCTCCTTACAGGGGGCTTGAAATATAAGACGAAACTGAAGCTTGTACTGTTTTTATAATATTTCAGCTTCCAAGTAAATTTACATTCAGTTTTACAGTACATTAATTCATAAAAACAGGTGTCTTATAAAAGAAAGATCCATCTGAAAATGTTCTACATCTCTACACGGGACATGTTCACAATTCAGCCTTGAATCAGATATTAGCTTTGTATTTTATGTGAGTTTGTTGAAACGTCTTATTGTCAAACTTACTAATCCAGCGTCCATGAGGAAAGCTCCATCCCTGCTGAGCTTCTCCACAGACAGCTGCTGCACTCTGGGCTGAGGGATTGTCCGCTCGTTGATGTTCAAAGCTCCCTGAGGATGCAGGGAAGAAAAGATTACTCAGTCACAGTGGAAAATTGTTGGAATTACTGTTCAAGTGCCCACTGCCCCAAAAAACCTGATATGGTGAACTGAGAATTGTTCATTAACACAAAAACTTAACCTCCAAATAAACAGTGTCAATCTAATCATGTGATCTATATCATAAGCACACCGAAAGATTAATAAAAACTCTTTGGCCTTCAAAAAAATCCAGGATATTGTTTTTGCTGCTGCATTCACAGAAATCTAGCTGCTCGAGATGTGTAGGTGCTGAGAGTAAATATCCTGCTCACCTCATCGGTCAGGTCGTCGATGCGGTACAGAGCAGGATGTATCATCAGCAAGGTGTAGACCAGTGGCTGGTACTTCAGCTGACACATGGCAAACACTCGGTCATCCAGTCTGGTGCTGGTGCCCGTCCTGAAGGCTTTCTGCACGAGTCACAAACAAACACATGCAACTGCATCAATAAAAGGCTAAACTAGTAAATTCACTTAAAAGAAAAGACAATACTTCAACACATTTATATACTGGGTTGGGCTAAGTGAAGGTAGTGATGGAATAAATTCATGGGTGTAATCAAGAGAGAAATTTAAAATAAAGCCCAAAGTTTTGCCCGACAGAGCAGCTGCTGTATAATGACTGGATGGTGTGAAAAAGCTGACCTGTTTGAGCAGGGCGAGGACGAAAAGGGGGAAGAGTCTGAGGCAGGCCGGGGCCAGTAGGCCGGGCTGCTGGATGGTCAACACAGACTGTCGGTATGACGACAGCGAGTCAATAGCAGCGTTGGTCATCGCATCTCTGGCGTCACTCAGACTGGCCGCCACTGAACGATCCACAGCTGGAGAGAGACACAAGAGAAGGACTGAGCATCTCACATCGTTTCAAGTCGCTATGTGAAGGGTTTTCTGATATTTTGGAAACGTCATAACAGAACTGACAAACATAGATAACAGTGAATTAGTCTCATTCTTCTTCTTGTGATTCTTTGAAGAAAGATTCATTCAAAGTCTATTGTCGACATTGAACTTTGAGAAAATGTGATAAATTTGATCAGCTGTACATTATATTTCTTTTAATGTAACATTGGGCCTTGTAGTATTGTACACAGTAATGGGCTGTTCGGTACAGCTCTGGATTTCAGTAGAAATAAGGCACAAACAACATCACACCCACCTCACATGGTTTGTGACTGAAATTTATAGTTGCAGTTTTCAAAATAACTGATGTTACTCATTCAAAGTAAATGTCAAACTCTTCTGTGCCATGTTCTGAAGAAAGCAAACTGCGAGCACCTGTTCTCAAAGTGAATGTGAGATGAGCCTTGTAATCAGTGGTTGCTAGGCAGCCACAGCTGTCGCTACTCATGTCCATCTGTCAGTGCTAAAAAAAGTGAAGTGGATGAAAACCCTGCAAACCCCCGACTATTTACTGCAACAATTTGATGCTTTATAAAACATCTTTGATGCACTTATAAAAAGTCAGGAATACCAATAGAATACTACATACTACTTATAGAAAATGATTAAATTAAAGCATTCATTGTGATATATAAACTGTGATTATACTTTGCCCCAAATTATGGGCTCCTGCAGCTTTACCAACCTGAATGGAAACAAATAATCTGTTGTGGTAGTTAATTAACACACACAGTATCAGAACATTGCTCATAAAGTCTGCTTCATAGAAAAACTTGAAGAAACAAATTCCTAAATAGTCTCATCTGAGCTGTTCCCTTGAGTAACATGTGGTACATACCCATGCAAGCTAGCAGCCCAGTGATGGCCTGAACATCTGCCCCAGAAAAGATATCTGAAAGAGAGTTGACCACAGGGAGACACAAGGTGTGGACACGAATCCTCCTTTCTCCTGTAAAACAAAATAAATATTTCAATAGAAGACAAAGATTAATTGGATTAAAAAATATATAAAACAACAGTATCTGTGTGCGTGTGTACCTTTGCTGGAGGTGTAAAGCAGGGCGGCCTGAAAAGAGACAGCCTGCATGTCGTCCAGATTTTCCTCGATGGACATTTGAACAGCAAAGCCAGCGTCTGGGTTCACGTTAGGGAGGGACAACAGATCTGTGGAGCGCACAAAGAAGTTTCCGTGGAACGTGTGGATGGACAGACCTGCAGAGAGACAGATGAAATCAGTCAAAACATGATAAAATCAGGATGACGAACACTGATTATTTTTACTTTATTTTTCCTTTCACATCTGAAAATACATATTTAGTTCAATGTTCGACCAAACTCCAGCTCCTGTAATGACGGACCTTTAGTGCAGCGTATCCTCATGACGGCCTCAAAGCCGATCTTCCTGGTTAAGTATCTCTTCAGATCCTTCTGGAAGCACTCCACCTGAGCAGGGTTGTGCTGGTGGTGGTATGACGGGTAATAATAAACGCTCCCTGATGAGTATCTCGAAATACAGCCTGAGAGAAAGAAGGCACACATGAGATGATTGTCCATTTTTAGAAATATACAAAGAAATATACCCAGCATTCCCCTCTCTCTCCTCCTGTAAATGTATCTATCCCTGTTGTGTCTTTACGACCAGAAAATAACCAGAAGGTAAAGATTTATCAAACATGTCAAATTTAGCGGCCTAACTTTATTAGTTTATTTGTGCAGTTGGGTTTAGGGGGCTTTAGTGTGCCGCCATACATACAGTATAGGTTTGTAGCCCTCCGCTACAATCATAGATTGAGTTCTTGTAATGTAAACAAACATCAATAATCCAATAAATACTCTTTTGTTCTTCTCTCCCTTTCCCATTCATTCAGTGGAGGACTCACCAAGTGAAGCCAGATCACAGTACTGAGCGCTGAGCAGGAACAGGTCAACAGCCACCTGCTGACCAGAGCAGTCCAGAGCCAGCTTCTTGTAGAAGTCTGTCGCTGGAGATAGATGCTGGATGTCCTGAAAGGAAAACAAGCAGAGCATGATCTAAAAAAGTCTGAACATATTGCAGGTTTTATTGTTTTTATAAACTCATTAATTGTGCCATGTTTGTCAATGTTTTCCTGAGCAGTGAGGGTCTGGCTTGAAATGCCTTAAAGTTTAATACTATGGGGTAAAACACAATTTTTAACAAAACAGCTTTGGGGTGGTTTAAGAGTTTCTTTAGATTACATATTTTTCTGCATCATAATGTTTTGCCTAAATAAACAGAGCTGTTAAAATAGCACTTTAATGAGCTTGGTCAACTTTTTTTGATTTATTTCAAAAAAATGTCTGATGTGACATTGGGAGTTTTAAAATAACATAAGCTGCTGTACAGTTATTTTATTATACTGACTGATCCAACCCACTAATCATTTAAGTCCTGGAGAAACGTCATCATCAGAGCGCCTACCTTGGCAGACGCTCGCTGGTTGGGGTCCTCTCTGGACTGAAGCGCCCCCACACCCAGGTTTGGCAGTTGTGTCTGGAAGACAGACATACGCCCTCCAGTGGGCGACAGCAGCTTGAAGGCTGCTTGCAGAGCTGATCCCAGGGCAGATTGAGTCTCCATAGTCTTTTGAAATAAATTTGGCAGACTCCTCAGCAGATCCTGCACAAGCTGAAAAACAAATACAGGAAGAAGTTTTATTACTCATTATTTAGCCCTGAGGGGAAAACTTTTGTTTGTCATCTTTCATTCATCTGCATGGTAGTCAAGAGCCTAGAACCAAGGTTTTTTAAGGTCTGTCTCATTAAGCACGATCCGTGAATATAGATGAAACACTGTCTTAAATAAACAGTAATTATTAGCGGTACTTAATACACTGTGGAAAGAGAAGAAAACACATCTTTAAATTTTAGCTTACAATGTTAAATTTAATATTGGGCTTGTTTAATCAAGGGGTTTCTTACTTCTTTGCATTCATTGAGGTTTACTAGAAGGCTGTCTGGTGTTGGTAAAAAGATATCTGCAAAACACAAAAAGTTATTGTTTTAACAGACATAATATACACAAAAAAACATTCTCATGTTACTTCAGTAATGACTCATTTTTAAAATGGATCACGTTTCTGAAAACTGTCGCCAAATGCTGAAGGTAACAGTTCTCTGATAAGAGCTTTCATTACTTCCACCTTTCCTTAGTTATACTGCTATCGGCACTCCCATCATGCACTTAGCACTTCTCTCACTCCCTTTCTCTGCCCTCACTACATGTCACTAACTTTGTGTTTTTTCCCTCCAATACTCTCTCTCTCTCCTTCTCTTTCTTCCTCTCTCTCTGTCTCTGCAGGTATCTCTAACTCCAGATCTGCAAGATTCAGACATCAACAATTAATATTATCTGTATTATTATTATTACATTAACTGTTGGTGCTATCATTAATGATACATTTACATCCATCATTAAAACTCTTATTGTTTTCATTATAGCAACTAGTCTGTCAGAGCTGAAACAAGATGGGTTAGGGTTAGGTTGAGGCAGATGGCGGACCACACTAATTTAGGATTTTTTGGAGGTGCGCGTCAGGCTGCGGCGTAGGTACGGCGTAGGTACGCCGTCGACGCGACGCAGAAGCATAAACTCGGCTTTAAGTCTGGTTCTGCGAGAGGTTTCTTCCAGTTAATGATGGATTTTTTCTCTCCAAAGTTTCCTTATAATTCATATGCTTATTGCTATTGTTAATTTTTACAGTTGGCCATGTCTCACCTTCAATGTCAGACACAATGAGCATCTGAGGCTGAGAAAGTCCCTCCTGAAGATTGTAGAAGTGGATGGTGCTGTCGAAGGTGATGAAGCCTACCTTTGTCCGCGAGTCTCCAGGAAGCCTAGGACACATATACACACACCCTTAAATAAATCTAGCACTTTAACTACCATCATCTTAATTTTAAAGCCTCACATAAACTTTGCAGTGAGAGGTCATTCTGCTTCTACTGTGTTATGTTGCTTTACTTTATAGCAATAATTAGAAAAAACTGTTTGCCTATATTTCCCCAGTTTCTAGTAGAAATATTAACATGCTGGCCTACTGCTGAGAAGATAAAGAAAAACATTCACAATTGTTTTCATGAACAACCTTGAATACACTGGTTTATATATAATTGGATATTATACATACGTGTTGATGTTGTCCAGCAGCGACTGACAGAACACATTCAGGTAGCCTGTCTCCACTGCATTGTGGGATACGTCCAGAACAAAGAGGTAAACAGCAGGCTGTGGTGGCCTCAGCTGGACAAAATCAAACATGTTACATAACATGAGGGGGAAAAAATCAACCAAGAGAAACACTGTCAATCACACACTCAGATTACGAGACCATGTGTTGTAGAAAATGAGCCAGCTAAATACTCACCATATACTCTGAAGGAGCAATGAACTCAATAGTGGCGTTCTGGACCTCGGGTCTTTTGTGAGGTTCTCCATACGATCTGCTGACTGGGTTGTACATAAACTCTTCTGGAACTACAGTCAGACACACAAGACCCAGAAAGCTTTTAATGGTAAATATTGGACTGCCCACTTTGTGCATCATTTAATCCTCGATTTAAAGAATTGTATCCATTTAAAATCTCTTTATCCACTGTATTATTTTATAATCATATAAAAAGTAAACGTCATTTTCTTTAATCAGACATTGCACAACATATTACAAACTAAATTGTTTGGTCGATGTTTACAGAATGATCATAAACTTAAAATAATTACGATTATTTGAAAATGTCTTGAATTTATCTAAAAGTGAACAGTTCCGTTCTGTAAATTTGCAGCTTCTACTCTTCCTGGAATAATTATTTTTTTATTATTTTATACACCAAAGACATCAACCATCTCCCCCTCTTACCATCATTGACCCGATAGCATAGGTTGCACTTCCACCTCCTCTGGTCCAGGAAGGAAACAAATGGGTTAATGTACGTTCTGCAGGACCGACATCTGACGATGGTGCTGGAAGTCACCACAGGAAGTTGCTGCAACAAATAAAAACAAAACCAACCCATGTGATAAGTGCCTCAGGCAAAAATCGATTTCTTGTTGGCAGTTCACAGGAATCGGAAATTCAATAAAGACTTTCTTGTTAATGTCCAAGTTGTGCAACATTTCTGTGGTCTGTTCTCAATCAATGACAGACAAACATAGACTGACACTGACAGATTTTGCCTGAAGGCTAATTAGTCTGATCCTATACTAAAACTGAAGTATTGAGAGAAATGTCAATGTTTAAATAAATAAAAGTCAGATGTAGTTGTTGAATTAAAATCCCTGAAACATAATTGATGAGGTCATAGATGATATTTAAACTTACTCAGGAAGAGTTTCATTGAGGATAACATACTAATCATTACTCCTGGTACCACCTTCTTTCACGCATTAATTCACATCATATGACATCTAATAAATACTGTTATTATACAGAGCTGACATTTACATGGTTATCTAAGTTGATTTACACACACTAACTGATGCGTGTACAATGAACTAATGTGTTACCGTGAGGTCTTTGAATGGGTGGAGCAGGAGGCCCAGCGGCATCTTGGCTTTATTGAGCAATGACTGTGTCTGAGGGATGCTGGTCAGCGTAGAACGGAAAACCCTGGAGACACAAGCACAGAGGGTCAATGCACTTGATGATCACAAAGAGAGATCATGTCATCTCTGGTGATTCGCAGCATACCAGCATGGTATGTGGGTGTGAATAGCATTAACGGATGAATGTATGAGTGATCATCATGAAGTCTATATCCAATAAAATTTCTCAGTGCCATGTTTTAAAATTTAGTCTCAGAACATCATCACCATGAGCAAGTTCATGGTTATGAAATACTGTAAATACTTAACATCACAGTAATATCGGTTTTAAAGAATAATAACATCAGCAAATAAAGGTGTGTCAGACAGACACATACTGTTGGTGTTAGTCCACCATGACTTACTCTGGGTTGCAGTTAATCTTCTGCAGGTCCTGGGGAAGGCAGGGTGTCGGGGCAGGGGTCGGGCTTGGTGGTAGCAAGTTCCTCTCCTGCAGCAGGTTGACAACTCTTAGTGCCTCTGGGGTACTGGACTGGAGGCTCATGGCCGCCAAGGACGGGCTCAGTTGGGCCGGCCCTGGGCCACCAGGTGGCTGAGAGAGGGGGAAACAACTGATCAGTCAATTTATTTACTGAAAACATACAACTGCCAAGTCACTGAGCATGAATGGCCTCCTGCCTCCTATCACAGCCTCCAAATGTGACAACTTTAAGGTCTTAAGGATTTTACATTAAAGAATATTGATGTTGTGCTGCCAAAAAAGCCCAGCAATAAGTCGGATATATCCACAAATCAATGTGATGGTGGTTCTTAAAAAATATATTTGCTGGCAAAAACTTTGTTTGGGTTTATATTCCTGTAAACAATAATGAGTGCATTGCTTAAATAAAACAAACTGAACTGTATGTAGTTCATAAAGTAGAATGAACTGCTCCTCAGTTAGTCGACTTTGCTTCTTTGAGTGTAAATACTCTACTCACATACAAATGCAGCTGTGTCTCAATGACAACTTGACGCTTCCATAGTTGACATAAATGTGAGGGGTTTGTAAGTGTACAAGGTGAAAAGCAAATGCATGACAGTACAGTTCATGCAAAATGCTCTAACAGTACCAAGTAGTACCAGGCTGTGACTTCTCTCTCACCTGCTGGTATGGCTGAGGTGTTTGAGTGTAAGGCTGTGTGGCGCTTTGCATCGCAGGGTGCATGGGGGAGGTGGATTTGTGTGGAGCCGCTGTGTTCTGGTACCCAGGGGGGAGGGAGGGGTAGTGGCCCAAGTGCCGACCAGGTGGTCCGTGCTGGGGAGGACCAGCTGTGGAAGAAAGTTCCATTAATATGAGAAATTATTAAAAAGCCGGCATTCCTGAAAAAGTGTAGCATCTTTAAATTGAGGCTTTAATGGTTTTTTTAATGTTAACAAAAAATTATATGAAAATTATTCATACTGTTGTGGCTCTGGTGGTGTTTTAAACCTATGATACTATATCATTGCAATTTTGTTTATACAATTCAGCACAAATGGTCATGTTACCCCTCGGTATTAGTACTGAGGGGATTTGATAAAAAAGATTCTGAAATAAAATACAGAAATGCTTTGCCTCCTCCAAAAACTGATGATGTGAAACATCTAGGAACATTTACCCATCAACTACAGGTGGTGCTGCTATGAAACTCCACTTTGTGAAGTGTGTGTGTGTGTGACACAGAAAGTGTCCTTACCCATTTTGTTGTCAGCATGATTATAGCTGTTTGATGATTGGGGACCATTGCCGGCCATAGCTCCTGTATCAAAGAAAACACAGATGTGATATGAATAATGGATTTCTGTCCCATGTGCCTACCACAGGTGATAGATGTGAAATAAAATAAACTACGGTGCAAGATACAAGATGGACACAAAGGGTTACTAAAACACCAAATAAGTCATCAATACTAATAAAGACACTGATGATGGCCGAGGCTTGTAGGATGTTTATTCAGAGGTCATATGGGAAATAGGGTGAGAGTGGATGAAGGAAAGACAAATAAACTATGAACAAGAACTGCATGTGACCAGGGATGCACTGATACTGGGCTGAAGTAGCCCCATAGACCTACATAACTCTATACCTTTTAGAGATCAAAAAACATAATATTAGTTCAATCATTATTTTCTGCATTTTCCTTGAAAGTAATAGATTGCAGAACTTCTATTTTAGTGAATACAAAAAAGAATTAGTGCTTCCTTGGTTACAATGCAACAACAGCACGGAGAGGAAAGGATGGGCACAACAGCACCGACACAGCATCTACGGCTACTGACAGATTTGGCCACACCTGGACATTCAATATCCCCCTGCTGGCAGTCGGGCTCAGTGGGGGACTGAGTGCTGTTAACAGCCGCCCCGCACTGAGCTGGCATGTAAAGGAAGGAGGGGAGGGAGGGAAACAACGGAAAGTGATCAGAAAAAAATGGCGGGCTTGTAAAAATGATGAGTTTCTGGCCCAAAGTCATAATTTCATGATCATCGCTGGCAAGGCTCTCACTTTCTGTCATCTTATTAACATCACATATAACAATCATTTCCTAATCTAGGAGAAAAAGTTTGCGCTGAACTTGACCTGCAACATTTTACAAAGTTACAAACCCAAAAATGTAAATAAATACACAGAGTATACAAAATGGTAAATCAATACAAAGCACAAAGTGTCAAGAATAAGAGAAAAATTACCATCAGCTTTGGGTGGAGGAGGTGTGGCATTGGCCACTGGGGGTCCAGTGGGAAGTGGTGTGGGTCTTATAGATGGTGGTGGGCCTGTGGGTGGGGGGCCTGTGGGTGGGGGTCCTGTGGGTGGGGGTCCTGAGGGTGGGGGTCCTGAAGTTGGGGGCCCATAGGCAGGTCTGCTTGGATGGTATGTGTGGGAAGCCATGGGATTCATTGGTGGAGATGCCATGCCTGATGAGAAAGACCTTATTAGGGCTTCCTTCATAGATTTATATACATTTATTTAATAAAGGAGATGTAAAATAATTTTCCTTTGTGATTAATACATTTCTCGTTCAGTGTATACAATTTTATAAATTTGAAAATAATGTTAATCTCACTTACTCTTTACCAGAGTGAAAAAGCAGAAATTCTCTATTTTCAATGTATTTGAGAAGAAATAAATTACTAAAGTTGCTGAAAATGTTTTCGTCAATTGACTTATCGCTTCAGCCATAATTCTGGTGACATTCACCACCATCCTCTCAGGTAAGACTGGGAAGTTAGTGAAGTAATTTAAGAAGAGTTACGACATCTAAAATGTAAAACAAGCGCTCCCTGTGGTGTTGCCAAATATCATGTAAAAGACAGATATCATGCATCAACGTGTTGATGAAACATTAGAAGCTCTGACTGGAGGTGACAACAGCTGATGGCACTGCTGACCCTTAGCCAACTAATGTGAGAACAGTGACAGCCACGTCAATATCTGCTGACAAACCAGCCAGTTCAAAAGTCTCTGGACAGAAGCATGTTCACTTTTGTGTATATACAGTGAAGCTAAAGACTGCAGACATGGTATATTTAAATGCACATGTTGATCTTTCTAACAGTAGTGACACAAAATTGTAACCGCGAAACCCAACATGAAATTGGATCTCTAGACTAACATCTCCAATTTTAGGGAACACGAATAATGTATTCATTAGATTATAAAATAGAGATTAGACTGAGATGAAGCATGTGATCACTAAACTTACTTTATTACAAATTGTGCACAGTCCATTTTATATTTGGTCTGGGACATTTTACCTTTATTTTAAATTAGAGCCTGATCGATAAATCAACTGATATGAGCCTTTCAAAGACATCGGTATCAGCGTTTAGGTTTACTGAAATCCACTGGTTTAAAAACCTGTATTTCCCCAAATAAACAATGCAGAAGAGATGTGCATTTGTGTTTACATTTTACATAAACAAATTATGCTACATTTGCCACATGGGTTTTATAAAGACATCTTAAGAATCGTGCCAATTTATATATAAATATATATTGCTGATACATTAGTTTCCCCATCTGTCTACAAAAATCTTTATTGGTTTGCTTTATTCTGAGTCATCTTACTGCAGAATTTCTTATTGACTTAATACTGGAGACTAAAACACATGGAACTAAATTATTGACCGTTCAGCAGAACACTTTAGAGTAAGAAACGTTCAATCAATTATTGAGGTTGGTGGAGAAATGTCTGATATTTTAGAATTGCTGTAAAATGTCACAGATTTTAATATAAAGTCAACAAAGTATACGTCTCCACAAAGACCAAATACATTCTCACTGTTACCACTGTACTGGGTGGATGTATCCTGATGGTGCTTCTGGTGCAAAGGTCACCGAACTCAAGTAGACTCTTATTGATGGTGTGGGGGGTGTGAATATGAGCAGGAATTTTCAAGGGAATCTGATCATGAGACATGCTGGCAGCACACAGACTGAAGCAGTCACGTGACCTCTGCTTCTATTGGGGAAGTAATGCTCTTAGGATAGTCTTAACACACACAAAAAAAACAAGGTTCCTTACAAAATGCTATGACAAATCATTCAAGATGCTGTGGTCACAGATTACACAACCAGATTCTATCAGGCTCATATCACTGAGCAAAGCCTGATCCTTCAGAGAAAACAATGATGACTACTTCTTAAGATTCTCTCTCACAGGTCTTTTGTTTCTGACACCGAGCTAGTACTTCTCAGTGGACTGTACCTTTCAAACCCTAAAATTAAACAGCTACATGATGCTACAATAGCCTCAAGAGATATAATTGTGACCATTTTGCTAATATCAGTTGAAACAATTCTCAACAATACAACCGCAGCAGAAACTGAATTTGAGATTTGGTTCTTTCCTAAAAAGCTGTATCATACTACTACATTAAAATCACTCTAGAAAAAATAAAATTCTTATTTGAACTTTGTACAAATTCAGTGTCAAAGAGTTTCTGGGCGGGAGCCAGAGGCAGAAGTCAGCCAACATGTTCTGTGGCGGAGCAGAGGGCAATGTCCAGCTCCAACATATCAGCATTCTAGATATGAATATCTGCAGCATGTCACTGAAAGAAGACAAGACACTATTCACACTGTAATACAATTATCGGAATGGGTCAAGGTGGATATGTATCCATTTAGAAATATATAGTCTATGTTTAGTCTATGCAATTAAATAAATTGGTTAGGAGTTGAGGCGCATCAAGATTAATTGGCTAAAGTTCACTGGTGTGAGGGATGATTTATCTTTTTATTGATTTGACCTAAGGAGTGCCTGTATCATTATCAACTCATTTATTACTACTAACTGTGAAGTGTTGACTCATCTTCATGTAACTATTCCACTCTTCATTTGAAAATAAAATTGTGTTGTGTATTTTGGTCTTACAGCTAGTGTAACATGTTTAGCTTTGAGTGGAGCTTTTGTGCTCCTACCTGGCTGGTTGTATCCTTGCAGACTGGTAGGGGGCATCCCGGGGCCTGAGCTGTATGCTGCTGATGACAGTGGTGGCGGTGGCACTGTTGAACTTGAAGTTGGGTTCACATGATTTGCCACAGGGCCGCGGGGAGGCGTGCTTGTGGAATTGGGTGGCCCCATTGGTGGGGGAGCTGTGTTGTACTGCCATGATGGAGCCATGGGCTGCAGCTGCTGGGGGTTTGGATAGTAGCTACTAGAGGATGCTGCAGAAGGAGGCGGTGTGGCCTGTGCATGGGACAGCCTGGGACCAGGGCTGGCAGACTGAGGAGGGGTTTGTGATGGAGGAATACCCATTGGAGACCTGGTCAGCAATGGCTGACCTGGGGGAGCTTGGTAGGAAGTTGGTGGTGGACCAGGCTGGTAGGAGCTGACTGGGGGAGCAGGCTGATATGCGCCAGAGGGGTAAAGTCCAGGGCCAGGGTGTACGGGAGCTTTGGACTGCATTGGATTGTAGATTGGTTGGTGGGTCATGCCATAGCTGACCCCTGGCAGCTGCTGTAAGGCAACTGGATTCTGTGATGGACCTAAAGACAAACAGAAGACAAATATAGGAAAATAAGGGGCATTTCAAAAAACTATTTGGGCAACTTTAGATGTCAGCATCATGTTGACCATTTTTCTTTCTTTCAAACCATTCACTAGCAGTGCTGTCACTGTGTTGAAGGAAAAAAAACAGTTGGGCTCCATCTTATGTACCAGATGCCAAAAAGTGCACAAGGGTTGCAGTTTTCTAGGTTGCACTCTTCTCATGCTTGAGCAGAGCCATTTCTATAAGGTAAAATGCTTAAAAATCAAGCCATTAGCCTTTCAGACAGATCAACAGTATTACAGATTCCTTGTCTGAAAAAGGTTTTTGTTCGTAAACCAAGTAAGTGGCTTTTAATTAAAGCAAATCCTTGGGTTTAAATATGTTCAAAAGGATATATGAAAAACAGATGGCAGAGAAACGTAGTGACGACACTGGGTGAAAAGCCCTTAGATCCACTCAATGACCAATAAACTGACAGCTCAGGGTCTAATCTCTTTACCTGGATTTAATTCAACATGATCTGCCCTCAATTACAGAAGGTGTGGGGCTCTGAACAAAGTCTGGCCTTATCATACTAAACACAGCAGCAGAACAAATAAGGATAGCAGATTTCAATTTCATAGATTTAAATATATCTGTTTGGTATATCCCAAATGCCACATGCAAATACCAAGACCTATGGAACAAGATCTCGCCAATAGCAAAACAACCTGATTTAAAAAATTCTTATCAAATCATCAATAGGAAAAAAGAAACAAAATGACAATCCAAGTCAATAAATGCATTACCTAAATAAGCCAACAGGTTTCATTGCTTTAACAGCAACCACAATGTACTGTTGCTCGGACCCAATCAAAGAATACGCAATTCACCACTTTCCATTTGAATCCCACTCTACATAAATGGAAGCAAAGCTAAATCAGTGGAGTGAAAGGGGATTAGAAAACAACTCTTCTCAGTGAGCAAAGATGGATGAAGACACATAATCCGATGCAAATCTCTGTCCTTCCTGTTAGCGATGAAATTTTAAGAACTAAAGCTCCTCGTCAGTTACAGATCCCGTAGGGAGGAATCAGACCTCTCAGCCAATCAAAAATCCGCCCAGTGCCAGATAAATCATCATGGAAGTTTGAATAAATGGGGAAAAAGAGTAAACAGTGAGTATTTGATAAATGTCTGTCGGTAGAACTTAAACTCCAACTCATATAGATTTAAGGTGCGATACTTAAATTATTATTTTTTAAAGTATTGTCAACATTTAACTGCTGCCAGTGAAGTGTTTTGTATTCTTCTATTATTAAACACCTAATAAAATAGCTTAGGACTTTGAAAAGGGCAGACTGACATCATTATTATTGAAAGTACATACTTATAAGATGTCTGAGGAAGCCTATACTATTGTAGGGCAGAAAATGTAAGTAGATGAAAAGAGAGTAAGTGTGAGCATTAGCAAGCTTATAGTAAGTAGCTTAACTACAGCTACACTCAGTCTATGAAACCTAAGGCTGTATTAAGTTATGGTCAGCAATTGTGGTAATTACATATGGCATGCAGCGCTGTATAAATCACATACATGCAGATGACTTTCTCACGACTGCTTAATTTGATGTGTTCATTCACCTACAAATATAGCTGCATGATTTTCTTCTCTTCTTCTGTTTCACTATTTCCATTTCTCTCTTCCTTTCCAACAAATTAACCATCAGTCTGTGACAACAACAAACTAGCTGTCAGTTATTCTTTCCAAGTGTAGTTTATCTGTACAGCTGCTGGATGTCTGTCTGTTTGTTCAAATAATAATTTGTTAATGTCCATTTTGCTTCCTCAATAAAACAAGATAAAGGGCAAAAAATCAATGACATTTAATTACATGTATTCATGATAAGTTCGGCTTCTCCGACACATACCTTGTTCAGTGATTGATCAGAGGTGGGTTAGCTTCATTTAATGACATCTCAATCAAAGGGAGATAAGAAAAAGATAACGGGGAGATGTAGCTGGAACATGAGACTCAAATGTATCTACAACTTTAGAAGAACTTCGTGCTTCATGTGCAGTGTACAAAATAACAGACTCTGTACAAGATTACACTCTGATCATGGATGCCACAGACTGATTTCCCCTGAGTGTTCATGGGAACCCGTTAGACGTGTGGTAGTAATGCCAGACTTGGATGTTTTGGTGTTGGAGGATGGTGGAGACAGCACTGCAGCAACATATCTGGATCATCCCCAATGTGCCACATGTACAGTAAAACGAACAACAGCTGTTTAACCTGCTAAAGATCCGAATTGCGCAACAAAGAGAGTTCTTATAATAACAGTTAATCACGAGCAATGAAACCTCACAATAAAATACCTCAGGAGACAACAGTCAAAGCTCGTTAATTTAAATATGACAGGAAACGACAGGCTAGCCGGTTAGCTTGACACGAGATTACAGATGCTAACAATGTGGCAATAATAATCACCCATATGTTAGCTTTTACCACCTGATGCATGTTTACCGTTTAGTTCGTCAACATGTTAGTGTCCCAACTCCGTGAACCAAAACCAGTTGATAAGGAGAAGATAGTTAGGGAGCAAGTTAGCAGTACTTAGCTTACTTTGGTGGCAGCAACTATTTTAGTCATCTTAAGTCACTAAGGTAACACGGGTCGAGATTAACCGAAGCTATCCCAGTATGAGTCCAACTGACAGCTAGCTCCTGCTCGGCTACTTTAAGTTACTGAGCAAAGCTGTTAGCAAATAGCCGCAGGGACAGGATCCAACACCTGCTAATAGTGTTAGCTTGTTACGCCGAGAGCTTCGCCGCCTCGTTTTAACTTCACTAAATTGTAAAAGTCACTCACCGTTCGCATATGCCTGTCCCGACCCAGTCCCATTCTGAGAGTTGAACCCCGCAGTTGACATCTTGAAACGGACACCAGGAGCTAATTTAGAGGTGCTGGGTTGGCTAAATAGCTAGCTGCGTCTTTAGCTAGCTAACTAGCTGGCAGTCGCGGGGGTGACGGTCAAACCTGTGGCTCTGTCGGTGTGGCGTTCAGTCAAAGCGTCGTTAACAGCGACGTTTATTACTTTCTTTTATTTAAAACAAAAAAGTTGACGAGCTAACTTGCTGGCGATCACAGGGCCATGGCTCCTGAAATCGAAACCCCGTTGGACGAGCTACGGGTGAGGCCTCGTCAGTAACTGTGAGACGCTTCTCCTCTTTCGCCGGAAGTTGGGATCACCCAGCAGGATCAGCGTAGAAACTGTCGGGCATGCGCAGTGTGTACACGTGGCATTTCCTCCGGTGCTCCCGACTTTACAAGCGTACCGGACACAGAGGAGGTGATTTATATGTCCGCTTCATTACCAGACTTCATGCTCAACCACTATTTTTCATAAATATTTGGTCAATTTTATTGAATTATTTGATTTGTTAATGAATGTCTCGTGAAAGAGGGGCAGATCTTGTCTACTCCTTTTCATTCAAGATTTGCTAATTTGTGTGAACATTTAAATTGTTTTGTTTGGTTGATGAATGAATGAACTCATCAATAAAAAATATACATGTAACATAAATTTGGTGTGTTGTGACTGAATTGCCCATCCAGGATTTATACGATCACCAGAGTAATACCCACCCTTGAAGTCTTATAAAGCCTGGCTAAATTATTTGATTCTTGACTTTTCCAGCAGCAAAGTAAATGCTATTCACAAACAAGCAGGGGCACTGCCTTTTTGAGGTTTTGTTTAATCTCTTCAAACAAGACATACATCGCATAATAAGATCAAATATGAGTAATATGTGTCTTTAAATGGAAACTGTAGGTTAAAGCCACATTGCCTAGCAGTAGAGGATTGGTAGGATATCACCTATGACATTTATTTAATGTAACTTACTCCATGAAGCTCCAGGAAACCAAGTTTGAGGACATTTGGGAGAAAAGTTATATGTAAAGATAAAGTTATATTTCCCTAAAACGCCATTATTTTGTCTAAATTGTTTTTACACACTAAAGAACAATTTATGTGTGAAAGTATGGGTATGTATGCGTATTCTGTTTATTTCTTTATTATATTATAGTTAATGTTTTATTTCCCCCACACTTAAGTGAAAGAAACACCCTTTGTTACATGTATTTACTTTAAAACTAAGCCGAGCAATGTATCACTCTGTAAAAGGTACATAGATGATGATGACTGCGTGAAGTGTAAACAATAAGTGACTCCAAATAAATAAGAATAAAATAGGAACCGTAGATCCTCTGTGTAGTGCAGTTGCCCTGTCGGAGGGGTGAGTGTGAAACAACAACAGGAAGCGGCAGGGCAGAGTTTGGGGAGTAGCTGCTCAGCCATTGCAGCTTCGTGGCTCAGCAACAAAACACGAAAAAGCAGAGGAAGACCTGGCAGCCCTCAGGCCCTCTTTTTCTGACCGGGAGACTAACTTACATGTGTAGACGAGCGAACACACACGTTGAACTAGTCTGCACCTGAACAACGGGTAAGTGTTTTACACCTTTTTCTCCTGATAACCTGAAAAAAAAAAGTCTAATGTGAGCGGTCGGTGTCTCGGCTAGCGAATCACCCCGGCTGCTAACGATGCTACGTTAGCATTGCTAACACCAAGTTGGCTAACTCGCGTATTATCTAAGAGCCTCTGGACAGATGTTAGCTATTGAGCCACGAGTTTATGTTTTATTAATACCCGTCTTTATCAGTATAAGACAGATGTCTCTTACGCCACCACACGACTCTGTTGTTTTAAACGGGGAGTATTTCTCCAGCTAACTGCTAATTAGCCGACGTAGTCAGAAACCACTCGATGCAACGTCGCCTCTTCAGATTGTGACACGTAGCTAGTGGCTTCCTGCTAGCCGTCCCGTTAGTCGGCCTCTCCCCGGCTATTCACGAAATACACCTAATTCAACACATCTAACTTTTATTTCGCTGCTATTATTCCGGTATTTGGGCCTTTTGTCCTTGTTCTCCCAGCGGAGAACCCGGCGGAGATCAACGATCCATGAAACGTTAGCCGCTAGCGTAAAAGTTAGCTAACTTCACTGCTACGTTGACAGTGGCTGTGTTAACCGGACTGATGTGACAGGCGACTCACACTGCTTTCGGTATCTTCACTGTATTTTGGAGTCATTATCGACGGCCTGAGAATCAACAGGCACACTTTGTCTTCAGGGAAGGAAATGTCTTTATTATAATTCATGAGCTAAACATCTGAAGTCAATAAATATGACTTCAATGTCAACACGATTTTATAGTGAAAGAACACGTGAAACAATGCCCATCTCTGATATTTACACATAGCGACAGTGTGTTTGACTCAGGGCTTCTCTGGTCAAGTTCATCTCTAATCTTAACCCGACAACCTGAAATGTATATCTCATCTTTTTTTCACCGTCATTTTAATCCAGAGACACAATGATTTTTTGATTATTCATTTAGTTATTTAAAGTGAAAGTCATCTGAAAATAATTTGATAACATTATCAGCATTTACAAATAACATTAGAGTAATACTTTGGCTCCAGCTCCCCTCATGACCCTCAAAGGAAAAGTGGTATAAGTAATGATGGATGGATTATATTAAATAACTTAATATTGGTTATTTTTTGTTTTGGACTGTTGATTGATTAAAACATGTTTCATAGTGACATCAGTTTATTCTCTAGGATGCTGTCAATGACACTTCACTTTTTTCTTCACGTGGTTGGTTCCGCTTGTTGTACATTTTGGCCCGTGTTTGACGGTGGTTGTTGTCGGTTACTGTAAAATTGCTTCACATTCACAGCTGCATCACGCTACACGTGGGAGCGTCAGACTGTAACGCCTGCCCACAGTGTTGCCAATAGGACAGCAGCATAGCTGCAGCTGACGTGTAGTTCAGCTGTATTTGTGTGGTCTTGACCTTTGTATACTTTATACTTTAGTCCTGGAGTTGTTTGCACTTTACGTAACTAGGGATAGAGGTCAGGACATGCCTACTTTTTTCTGTTGTCTCTTAAGCCTTCATAGAAGAAATTAGATTTGTATGTGTTTGTGTCTTTGATGGATTGAACACTGTGGTTTCATGTTTCCTTTGGTTACAAAAGGAAGTTTGTTAACTTTTTCTGACCCATTTTCTCAGATTTCCACAAAACTTGACTAGTGAACAAAAGAAAAGCGCTGAATAAGCTGTTACATGTAGCAAGTCAGGGATCTGATTTCACACACTTACAGCAATCCTATATCTGATCCATTTTATTTTGATTGAAAAACAATCTAATTTGCTTATCTTGAAAGGCTTAAGACCTGGCTTCATTTCCAAGGCCCTTGCAGATGGCTCTCGTTGAATCAAACACTCATGTTGCCTGTTGAGGAGCTGTCAGATGTGATCAGTGCTCTGAATGTTCTGTCCTCCTGTCCAAAGACTCCTACTGGAACAAGCTAATCATTGGCTGTAGAGAGCCAGTCATTGTCCTTATCACCACTTGCCAATAGCTGTCTGATAAGTCATGGTAGGACTTGTATTCATAGAAAGTGTCATCACTTTTTTTGAGGGGTGCTGATTGGTAGTTAATGATCTAATTATTTGTCTCCTGTTGTGTGATGCTTGCGTTTTATTTATTTATTTTGTGCAGCATACGTAATATCTCTGATCATGAGAACAAAGATGAAGAATAATGTCACAGAAAGCCTGCGTACAAAAAAATAAATAAACATAGCAAGCCACTGATACATATTCAGAGGAGCAATGGGTAAAGGTGTAGATATAATTTTCGTATATTTTTCGGTATTTTTCTGCTTGTACTGTGTCAGTTTTTGTTTTCTTACCTCTGTTTTTTCCCATTTTTCAGGATTCAACAGCTCTGGATATGTCATCCCTATTGGATTGGATTTATAGTGGAGTCAGTTGCGCACTACAGTTTTTAGGTGAGTCCTGATGAACACACATACCATCTCACAAGAAAACAGGAATGTAATATTGAAGGCCTCGAATTTTTACAATTTTGACTGTTTTTGTAGGTTAAGTCATTTCTTAAAATGTTAAAAGTCTGATATAACACAACAAATGAAGTTGTAATTTGATTAATGTCTTCAGTGATTACATGAAGACCTTAAATTGAGAAAGCTACTGGGCTGTCTTATACCTCAGTGATCAGGATTACAGCACAATGCAGGGCTAAGACTGTCATGCACGATTGTAGGCTTTGTTCCTTGACATCCTTTCCTGTTTTGGGGGAAATTGATTGGAAGGTAAAGTTTCTCTAAAAGTGTTTGTTTACTTTGTGCCTGCAGACACAAATCTGAAACACAAACACCTTGATGCTTCAGCAGATGCCACACCTTAACAGCAGATCAACACTACAAAATGTTACCCAATAAAACCTTTTCTGCAAATTTGCGACAAAACACATAAGGTTATTACACAATCAAAGAAATGACAAGGCCCCTTTCACTGGGGCTGCACATTATATCTAAAATATACCATCATCGCAATATCAACATGAGCGAGATCCATATTGCAAAAGACTGCTTGATTATCTAGTCTCTCTCTCTCTCTCTCTCTCTCTCGCTACACGTTGATTTGTTTGAAATGACGCCACAATATCAACACTGATCATCACATAATGATCAATACTTCTCTTAAATGAGTTAATTCTTTCTTCAGAGCCGGAGAAATGCAGCGCACTCGGTTTGATTTGATTCAGTTGGAAGTGCGCAGAGTAAATGATAGAGACATAGGGAGGAGCAGTGACAGAGCTGGTAAAAACTGTGAAACATAACTTTTTACGATCCAAACATGTATGAAAAGACGATAAATGATCATTGTAAGTGGACTGCATGGCTCCCTGGGTGTCTGCCGTGGACTTTTTTTTGGCACCACGGCCGGGCTGTGCGTCTTCTCCTTCGGGCTGTGGAACTGTCCGTGGTCCCTGCATCCATAGCCAGGTATATATATATATAGACTTAAACACTGTATACTTAAGCGCGTTTGTTTATTTATCGCAAGTCATATCATCATGGCAACATTCAAGCGCGTTATTGCATATCGCAATATATTGCAATATCTTTTCTCAATATTGTGCAGCCCTACCTTTCACACTGACCAACTTCTAATGTGGTCCACGAGCTGAGAAATTAATGGAGCAATCACACTCTTCCTTTCTGTGTGTCTTGATTGGGCATCCACCTCCTTGGTCCGAGCACTAGCACAAGCTGGTTTATGGGTTTGGTTCCCGTTGAAGCCACACATGTGATTTACAGTTCTGTGTGTCAGGTAATGGCACTTAAAGGAAAACATCTTCCAGAAACAGTGTTTATTTTAAATCTATTCGAAACTCTTCACCAGATGTTCTTCTCACCAGCTCCTCTTTAGTTTCTGTGAGAGCTGCTTCTGTGACGCAGTTGTTCCTGTTCTCCCTGTCAGACAGGTTGCATAGAGCTGTTGACTAATGGTGACACCTATTCTAGCTCACTCAGTCAGAAATTTTACAAATATACTGGATATCTCCAGGCTGACTCATAGAGTTGAACTCAATGCATTTTAATCTCTTCATTAAAGTTCAGAAAGGTGTGACCCTGTACCTGTCCTGTGCCGATCTGTCAGAATGGACAGTGGGGCTAAAAAGTTTCCCTTTAAACTATAAAGGCTATATTATTAAGATATTTATTTGCAACAAACAATTACATTTTCTTTATGAAGTTCAAAATCTTTTTTGTATTTTTATATAGTTATTTAATTACAATTACATTTCGTTATCATAAGGGTTTGAAAACATCTTAGAAATTATTGACAACAACAAAAAATTACATATTGTTATCGGTATTACTCATTAATATCAGAATTGGTGCCCAAAAATGTATATAAAGCTTAAATTTGGAATCAAAGTGAATTCTATGGTGAAGAATAGAGTTTTTAAAGTATAACTAAATGGTATTCCTATACAAAAGAGAATCAATAACTTTTTCACTCTCATAGTTTACCAAGGACACTATACTGTATGTGTAAAACTACTACATGTCTGAGAACAAGTCTTACCTTGAGTTGCATTTTGTGCTGTTAAAACCATGACAAACCATGAAAATTGGACTGATTACATTAGTTCAAATCTGGTTAGGGTTTCTTGATGTGTGAAATTTCTAAAGACTGATGTTACAAGACAATATTATGATGCGGCCCATCTAAAATATTTCTATTATCCAGGCTTGAATTCTGAGATGCTTCCCTTTTTTTTCCAGGACTGTACAAGAAATCCGGCAAGTTAGTATTTCTTGGCCTGGACAATGGTGGCAAAACAACGCTACTGCACATGCTCAAAGATGACAGATTGGGACAGCATGTGCCAACTTTACATCCAAGTGAGTTGGAGATTCTCTCTGAAACATGCACATTACACACAGTTTCATTCAGTTATGTATTAAAAGCCACCCATGCAAAAAAAAAAAACAGCCTGATTATTCATAACACCTTTAAACAGTCCTGTTGAAATTTCTTATATTAATTCATGATTTACACATGTAAATACACTAAGCAGTTGTTTATCAGTGAGTTTTTAGAGAGGCTGAATTTTTCTGATTTGTCGATGATCACTTTCTCTCCTCCAGCCTCAGAAGAGCTGACGATTGCTGGCATGACCTTCACCACCTTCGACCTGGGAGGCCACGCACAAGGTGTGTGAACGGGGGGGAGCGTTATATAATCACAACATGTATTAGTGATGATCTGATACCACTTCTTCACCACTGATTGGACAGTTGAATAACATTATAGAGATGGACTGAAAAGTTACACGAACAGAAAAAAAACAGCATACAAAAGATTCTATCAACACACTTGCTAATATAAGGTCAATATAATACACGACTAAAGTAGACAGACCAGACTATAAAATTCATGTTTGCTTTTGTTCACACAGCCCGCAGAGTGTGGAAAAACTACCTCCCTGCCATTAATGGCATTGTCTTCCTTGTGGATTGTGCGGACCACGTGAGATTGGCTGAATCAAAAGCAGAACTTGTTGTAAGTACCCACAATCTGCTTGGTGACCATCGCACAATGCCATCAGTACTCATTATTGGTGAACTATTTCTTCACTGATGTTAATAGCACCATTAAATGTGATATAGTGGTGGGTTAGTTGTTGTAAGAATTGTGTTAAATTTGGTGATTTTTAAAGATAAAAACTTCTGTGTGTTGTTTTCTCATCAGTTGTATCAATAAACAGCGGTATAGTGAACAAAATATTTAATGTAAAACCATCTTCTTTAAATGTAAGAAATTGTTACGATAGAAGTAAATTATATCTACAAAACGTCTAGAAGACACTTAATATTATTCAAACAAACACAATATCACATGCAACATCATGTGTCATTTTCTTATAATCCAAACATTAATCATACTTTGTCTTCCCTCCCAGGCATTAATGACAGATGAGACCATCGGAAATGTGCCTATTCTGGTCTTGGGAAACAAAATTGACAGATCAGAAGCCATCAGTGAGGAGAACCTGAGGGAATTTTTTGGATTGTTTGGACAGACGACAGGCAAGGTAAGTGGACACAAACAGCTTTATGTCAGCACACTACATTGTACCTCATATTAGAAATCTTAAACTTATCTACTTATAGGAAAGGAGTCAGTTGCTTTTTTAGCAGGTATAAACATGTTTTTAACAACTTGTGGATACCCTCTAGTTTTGTTGTAAATCATCGTAGACTAACACAGTGAGTGTATGTAATAAACCTCCACTTGAGCTATGGTTTTCAAACAGACTCCTGCCTGGTCCATTTTGTACACTGTAGGCTTAAATAAGTATCAAGTTCAGTTTACAGTGACATTTGTTCCTCGCACGAGCTTCGGTCTTTACCCTCCGTCAAGCCAAAGAATCAGTTAACAGCCATTTCACAAATTCAAGAAATGTTTTGTTTTCCTGCTTTTTTTCTCAGGGCAACATTCCAATGAAAGAGCTGAACACAAGACCACTGGAGGTGTTCATGTGCAGTGTGTTGAAGAGGCAGGGGTACGGCGAGGGCTTCCGCTGGCTCTCACAGTACATCGACTAAAGAAGCCGAAACATACCGACACCACCACCATCAGGGGGCGCTAAACTCAACCACTCAAGACGCCCACTGTTGCCACCAGTACCATCATACTCAGCCCCATGTTTGGTTAAACAAATGCCTCCACCTTTAGAGAAACCAGTACAACTTGATCCCAATAGACTTTTATTGGTCGAACATTTGGTTCTGCACTTACAACATTCATACCTTTATGCGCACACATGACATACACACACACACACACACACACACACACACACACACACATACACATACACATACACACACACACACACACATTTCCATCTCTCTGTCTGTTTTAAGAGAGAAACATAGCATTGGTTCCACAGCAAAGGGTGTTCAAATTTAAATGGATGAATCTTTTCTATATTGTCGTTTGCTGCCCTGTCTCCCTCCCTGCCATCTGTTGAGTGTGATGATAGACGCATTATAACTGTAAATCTGTACAAATATCAGAAACCTCTGGCGCCTCTTTCCCCCTCTCATCTCATCTTCAGCAATGACAGAGAGCAACATAGTTGTTAACATTACACACTTTTTTTAACAGTAAAGACATTCATTCAACATTGTATTCAATCACTGTTTTTCTTTGTCCTTTTTATTCTTCTTTATTCCCCACATGATTTGAATAAATGTGTCACATACACAGCCCTCACTATAGACATGTGGCTGTTTCACACATTTATTTAAATGGACCAGTGCATTTATCACAGTGATCCATTTCTTTAGGATACCTGGAAGTTAAAGTATTCCTCCAGACTCCTCTATCTTGTGGGCACAGTAGTAATGGTGAACTGTGGGCTCCCTTTTTTTTAAATAAAAAAAGACACATGGGTGGCAGCGAAGCAATGGGTGGCGAATTTTAATAGAAAATAATTACCGGCTATAACCCAAGCAAGGTTTTATGAAATCGTGTAGATAGCACAGTGGTCAGTTGAGGCAAAGAAAACTATTTAAGTAAATGAAGCCTTTGAATAAATAGATAATAACATGCAGTGAGAGATGAAGGCAGGAAAATAGGGATGGATGTAACATCAAGTAGTAGTTGACATTAATTGCTCATCCTGTTGTATTTTGCAGCGCAGACCTTTTTACAGGGTGAATCTAGTCACTAAGGGTAGAAAAATAAGGACACAATCCCATAGTGGGAACAGGTAGTTAGGCTTATGACACCTCTAAGAAAGGGACCATGTATATATGAAATGTACACGAACATCGTACATGGATTTTGTATTTATCAGTGGTATCCTTTGATCTATGTGCATTACCAGAACCTATTATGCATGCCTTGTTCTTTTGATTTTTAATGACCATTACTCCAGAGTACAGCAGGAGGGAAGAAGATGCCAAAATTTACATTGAGAGCTGATTATCATGTTTTGTTTGTTTTTCTTTCTTTTTTACGGAAACAATGGAATTGTGCGTAATACATACTTTTTCTGTCCCTGTCTCTGTGTCTCTTTCATTCCCTCATGACTACGTGATGAGCTGTTCCAACAAGGGTGGGACTTGCTGTTGTTTGCATCAAAAAATGTAATAAATGTTTGCAATGAATAACAGGCTTTAACATTGATCCACAATGAAGACTGATTCTTTTTGTCACTTTTGTCTTGGGTGAGATCAGTGATGCTCCAGTGCGACAGTATGGAAAATAATCCACTACAAGTTCATAACAAATCCCACTTTAATTAGAATTAATATTGATGCATCAATGCATAAGCAGCAATTAATGATAGTGCCATAGTTAAGAGGAGAAAATCAATTTTGATGGAACTGCTAACAACTCAATGACAACTGAAACAAGTGGCCCCAAGTTGACGCAGTTTATGGAGGAAAGGTACAAAGAAGCTGGTGTATTAAATTGTAAACTATTACTCTGAAAAGTAAGGACCTTAAATGGAAATACACAAGTAAAATATCAAAATTGTGCTTAAACGTATTACTTGAGTAAGTATAGTTACTTTACATCATGTGTGAGATGACTAATGTTTAATCATAAGTTATATATCAGGTTTAGCTGAAAATATCAACAACTGATGACTTGTATTTGAAGCAGAATCAAACATTTGTACATTTGACTGTGGAGGACATATTCTAAAAACCTCAAGCACTTAACTACCATGCCACTAGGGGGCACACATGACATAACAACGTTTGCATTTTCAGAAGTGCTGAAGGCTTCAATATATCACAGTTAAGAAAAGTAAGACCAGTTATCACTAATGATAAGACAACACTGTAGTAATATGTGAGAAAAGTGTGTGTGTGTCCTACCTCACTATCACTTTGCCTCTATCTCCCATCCAATCAGTATTAAACACCGTGAACCAACAATGCACAGGAAGAACATAGCAGATGTTGGATAGAAACATAACTGCAATTACTGTCAGATTTATTTCCTAAAAGTAATGTCTTCACAGGTTTCCAAAGGTGAAATCAAATCTAAGAATAATCTTTTTTTTTACCAAACACTTCAGTTTTTGTGTTCAACCACAGCAGTGTGACAGAATCTATAGAATGGAAAAAACGTTGAAATCCCCATCAATACGTTTATTACAGTTCATGAACTTGACACACAGAAGTTTCCCCCCGGGGGCGGAAGCTCTCTCACTCCTGACGCACTTAAGCTATTGGCTGAATGTTGCCAGTGCAGCAATACTGAAGTCCAACTCATCCTTATAAATCAAAATGTACGGTGTAAGAAAAAAATGTTCTGGATAGTAATTGAAAAATTCAAGCTAATGACATTTTAGCATATGAAGCCTGTGGGCCTAGTGCTCACAATAATTATGGTTCACTTCATCAGTACTCTCAGTTCAGAATGAATGCATTAATTAAACACCAGCAACTCAACACTCTCATTCAGACAAGATGGACGTCATCACATCAGTTGAAAGATATCTTCAAAGGATGATTCATTAAAAAAACTAACTGTTAACTGCTTTGTGAAGACTTGGTATGAATAGTAATGCAGGGAAAGAATTGATATCTTATTTTGCAAAGACCTGTGGGGGAAATAAAACTACTTTACTTATAAGTATAATGGCACCTTTAAAAAGACAATTACATTTAAACAAATCTGAGATCATACAATAGGATGCACCCAAAAATAAATAAAGACAAAAAGTCATAGCCCACTAATGAAAATAAAAACTAACAAAAACAAAACACAGAGGCAATGACTTGAAGGAGAGTACAATTAGTGTGGGGCGAGTTGGTGCAGGGGTTAAAATGCACTGTAACTGAGAAATCATATCATGTCAGGCCACCAGAGGGCAGTACTGGAAAGCAGCTCAGGGTCTCTATACTGGAATTCTCTCTAGATCCGTTCATTTTCCCTGGTACTCAGATAAAAGCACCTACAGGCAGACAGCAGGAACAGGAATGACACAACAGATTGTGTTCTTAATAACAGACTTTTTCATGACACTGTTTAAAATGCTTCTAATCAGGACCAGTGGAATGAACAATACAGCTGATCGGAACTTTAAATCAAAGGACTAGTTCACAGAAAAATGAAAATTCACTCATTGTCTACCCACCATCATGCTGATGATAATGAGTGAAGTTTAAGTCCACAAAACACTTTTGGAGTTTCAGGGGTGAAAAACTGAAGTACAATTGAAGTAACTGGGGACCAGACATTCAAATTCAACTTTAAACAGCATCATTTACGTCATGTTTTTAGCCTAAATGTCCACTACCAGGATTACTACACCGCAATGGATTTCAGCTGCAATGCTGTTTACCCCTGAAACACTCAAACACTTCACCCACCACTCCATCGGCATAGTGGTGGGTAGATAATAAGTGGATTTTCATTTTTCAGTGAACTATCCCTTTAACTTCCACTCACTGCAGACTTTACTGTGGAGAGTGTAATCGACTGGTGATTATCAAACTATCAAAATCCCAGTGTTTCTTTCCTCTGCACTTGATTGTGACTGATCGGTTAACATATGTTATGGCTTACTTTGATTCTTAACAAGTCTAATATTTCTTCAGTATGACGAGACTTTATTTCAGATGAGACAGGGTTTGACTGAAATATAAAATGCTGTGGGAGTCTCTCAGCTGAGGTGGAACAAACCTGATATAGCTCCTCTCACGATCAATTCAGTTAACAGATAACTGTCTGAACAATAGTCCCACTCATTAAATATACAGCGTGTGAGGCATTTTCTGTGTGAAGCACAGCCTCTGCTCTATTCCCTAAAGGTTAATGTTTTATAAAATGTGTGTTAATTTTTCATGTTAGCGCAGGTGATCTTTAATCTGGGTGAACGCCTCCAGCACAATTCTCTGCAGGAAACCCTGCGATGTAGGATTTTCACTAAAACTGTATAATGGTGGAAGCAGGAACCTGTGATCTGTTAATTCACCATTTGAGTTGTTGTCTTCTGTATTCCGCTCTTATATGGCAGCAATTATTTATTTTAATGACTATTTTAAATCTATTAATCTGACGGATATATTCTCAATCTATCAATTAAGTCATTTGTCTATAAAATATCAGGCGGCAGTGAAAATGGTGTTTATATTCCCATAGCCAAAGTTGACATCTTCTTATGTGTTGTTTTGGTCTGGCCACTATCGTATATAAAGATGATGCTGATCTGGTGAGCAGAATATTAAAGCAACACTGTGTGACTTTGACTGAGCAACAGCGCCCTCTACAGCCAAGAAAAAAATGCTTCCAGTCAGTTGTCTAACTCACTGAACTGAAAAATGTCATTTTAGGTTGTTTTTATAACACATATACACGTCAAAGTGTTTTTTCCAGTAAGTTTAGCTTTACTATATGAAGACGGGGTGAAATGTTATTGACACCTGAGACAGAAGTGGAGATGTGTCGGCCATCTTTATACAGTCTGAAGTCACAGCTCTTTAATAACCAAATGTAAAGATTCTTATTTAAAAAGTTTTTGTGAAAAAAATAAAACATTTGAATAAAACTATCAACATGAGACTGATGAATCCAGTCCTGGTCCCACTGTGGTTTGTATTTGATGAACTAAATCTCTTAACACAAGCTCACCCCATCTGGTATTGTTTTTTTTTATGCATAGTCCTCCCTTGTTCCCACCTCAGCTCCACCCTCCTCTGACTATTAAAGTACTTAAAGGGGCTCTCATATGGAAAGTGCATCACTTGCAGCACAGCGGCCTGGAGCTGGACCAAGAGCAACAAAAACAAACCATCTTTCATGTCCACGGGGTCTCAGACTTTTTTCCCTTCTTCCTCCTCTTCTCTTTGAAGCCAAGACCTTAGCTGAGTCCACCGTTTGTTGCTTTAAAGGTTCAGTGTGTAGAATTTAGGGACATCTATAGGTGAAGGTGCATGTTGCAGCTGAATACTCCTCATGTCACCTCCCCCTTCCAAACATGAAAGAGAACCTGTGGTGAACTTCAGTTGTCATGAAAACTCAAAA